TATTTTGAGATTTTGATGGAAATTGGTCATTTTGTGGGAATAGGTTTCGGTTAGGGAGTTGAGATTTGGAGTCGAGACCTCATCAGTTTCTGTTCAGTTTGCGATGTGAGTTTTCCTCACTGTACTTTTGGGTCGAGGCACCAAAGACGGCCCATTAGATTGTTATCCTAGTTTATCGCATGTTGGTATGCTGTAGTGATCTGTTAGATCTATATCTTGGTAGATAGGATGATGCTATGCTTAGTGATCTGTAAGATCTGTCTGATTTTTTGTTGACCGGTTATATGTACGCTTATCTGTTATGTATATGTCGACATAGTTTATGTGTGGTTGGATTGAGGCGGACCAGTGTAGACTGAAGGCCAAGAGAGCGAGGGCGTCCCGGATAGACTGCAGGCCCGAGAGGTGTACCAGTCAGGCTGAAGGCCCGGAGAACGTTCCATACTTCCAGATAGGCTGAAGGCTCGGCGAGGCGTACCATTCATACATAAGGTTATGTGAGCGTACCAAATAGAATGTAGGCCGGTAGGGCGTTCCAGTCAGGTTGAAGGCTCTATATGTGTAACACCTGTGAGTTAGAGCTAGACGTTTAAGGGGTGATCATAATAACAAATATTTGTTTTATCGAACAGTTAAAAATCCTCGAATAAGGTAATTATTCGCCGTACACATTATAAGCTAAATAAATAAATATTTATTATATACACGTTATGTGGACAAATATTATGTATATATATAATATTTGTATAAATCTTTTTATAAAATATGGAAGAGCGATAAGATAACATTTTTAAATAAAAGAAAATTTATGATAAATAATCTTAACGAAATCTGTAACGACCGTAAAATCTCAAACTATATAAGACGTATTTGATCTAAATACATTAAATGGTGAACCCAAGTAGTGAAACGATATTTTTTTTGTGTTACACATGTATTTTTCGACTAATAATAACCGGATATACTTTATGACATCGGCCATCTATTAATAAAATTAGGTAAGTCGTAAAATAATATGTAATATATATGTATATGATAAGATTTTATTATGAATGGTATATTGTCTTAAAGGAGAAAGAGATGAAAGACTATAATTCTAACTATAGAATTAAATAATCTGGATAAAAACGAATTAAATTATTTGGATAAGAACGAATTAAATAATCTGGATAAAAACGAATTAAATGATTTGGATAAGAACGGATTAAATAATCTGGATAAGAACGAATTAAATGATTTGGATAAGAACGAATTAAATGATATGGATAAGAACGAATCAAATGATTTGGATAGGAACGAATTAAATGATTTGGATAAGATTTTATTATAAAGGGTATAATGATTTATTAATAAATAGTTAAGAGACTATAATGCAACTTGAAGGATATATTGTGTTAATACAAGAATAACTGAGGGACCATAAATGTAATTATAATTGATATACATGTTAGTTTTACAAGATAACTAAGATAATTATAATGGCACATATGTGTCCAAATTTATGCTACATGTTGATTTTGATAAGATTGGGGATCACGTTTCATCATGGGTATAAATAGGATGGTTTTTTTTTATATATTTTGCAACATACAATTCACATAAATTTAGAAAGAAAGACTAGAAGATATTTTGAAAAAGGGAAATTTATGCTAATAAAAGATCGGGAAGTTACTCTCAGAACTAATTACGATCTGCAATATACACTTGTTATATCAGGTGAGTGCATAGTTACTTTCATCTTACACATAGATATGAAGTATTTAATATAAATTACGTGTTATGTGTGCATGTTATTTGTGTTCTTGATATCTATGTTGGATGAACCGAATATACATGTTTTATTTGATTTAAACTATATATGTATTTTATACCTATAAAAATTTTGGGTAAAGATGGGTAGATGAATGATGAGGGATGAAAGATGATATAGATGAACATTGACAGCTATGAACTTAGTGCCCTATAAATAAAAATATTGGCAGCTGTGCCACAACTTGTAGATGTTTTTGAACTACAATGTACTCTAAACATCCCAGCAGCCGCGCCTAAAGGATAATATCGGCAGCTATGTCTAATAGAGAACATCATAATCCTGGCAGCTACGCCTAAATGATAATATTGGCAGATGTGCCTAATAGATAACATTGGCAGCTGTACCATTGGCAACGATGGAACTTTGTGCCTGTTCCTTAGGACAATCCTTAGGAATGAATAAATGAAGAATATATGATTCTTAGGGTAGATCCTTAAGAATAAAGAAGATAATGGGGATGGGTAATTGGGTTAATTGTTTGATGATGAAACACAATAACCTTACTATTGTGGGTTGAAAACCCTATGTACTCACCAGGATTCCCAACCTGACCCACTCATTTTATTTGTATCACAGGTGTCGATATGAAGCTACATTACATTGAGAAATTAAATGAGATGTAAATAACTAGTGTAAATGAATGTAGGTCTGTTTATGTTTATGTTTATGTATTGACGATGACATCCCAAAGTTTTAATATAAACAAATTACATTTCTTCATAAATGCTTTGATAATATATTTATCATGTTTTCTGGGAACAATTTCCACAATATAATTCTTTAAAATGAATACTCTGATTTTCAAATAAGCATATATAAAAATTTTAAAATGACCGTGAAAAAGGGGATGTCACAATATGCATGTTGTCTGTATTATGCTTATGTTATGTGTTGGTATTTTGGGGGGGACTCACTAAGCGTTGGCTTACAGTTTTGGGTTATGTTTCAGGTACTTCAGAGGACCGCGGGAAGGTGAAGGTGTGACCATACATATCCTCATGTTTTGGACTTATGATTTTGCGAACTCTGATGTTGAAATGCTTTTGAAAACTATGTTTGTAAACAATTTGCGAATTTGGTTGGTTTTAAAAAGTTTAAATTTATCATGATTTTTATGAGTGTTACATGCGAAATAAACCAAAACTGAAAATAAAGGAAAGTAAAACCACACCTGGATTGAAGAAGGAACAAATTCATACCGACTGATTTATGCTCCGGTGATGACAGCTGACATGAGGGTGGAAAATTTCTTCGTTGACGATTGTGATTAACAAAGATGACGATGGTGGGTGAGGTCTAAAACCTGGAAATCGCACCAGGGGGGAAATTTTAGCGGGTAGAATCAAACCTTCAGACATTGAAGGTGGAATGGCAGCTACCAAGCAAGTTGAATAACTTCTTTTCCCTTCTTGCTTAATGGTCAACAAGTTGGAAAATCGAGGGAGAAGAACGACATCAGAAGAACCAACAGGTGACGAAGAAGAAAATGGTTGGCGACTGATAAAGGGATGATGGTTTTTAGGGTTTAACTTATTGCCTTATTTTAGGAGATATTATTTGAATTGTTCTTTTACCATAGTTAGATATACTAAGATTACCATTATACCCTTATTTATTTATTTAATTATTTATTATTTCCTGAATTTTCATTGGTCTCTACAAGAACGCAATAGTTGTTAGTAACATTTGAATATATATATTATATATATATAATATATATATATATATATATATATATATATATATATATATATATATATCTATATATAATATAGGTTTAGGTTCTATGGAAAACAAAAAACCCTAAAAATAAAAAAAATGATAAAAAAAATACTTAGAGATCACAAATCTTTTTTTTTTGATTTTATATTATGAAAATTCGCAACTTTTTATAGATTTTCGCTGAAATTTTTTTTGAAAAAAAACCAAACAAAAAAATTCGATTTTTTATTTTTTTTTCAGTGAAAATTTTATAAAACCTACGATTTTTTGATGTATAAAATCAAAAAAAAAGAAAAGTTTTGTGATCTCTATTTATTTTTTATGCATTTTTATGATTTTTAGGGTTTTTGTTTTCCATATAACCCTTCCGTATATATATATATATATATATATATATATATATATATATATATATATATATATATATATATCAGTATTGCAGAAATCGACCTTGGCGGCCGATTAATCACTTGGCGGCCTTAACCGATTACGATTGGCGGAAATTGGTCAAAATCGGTCAAAGTCGGGTTTGGCGGTCCTTGGCGGCCCTTGGCGGTCTCGGCGTGAATTTTTTAAAAAATTCAAAAAAATTTAATTTTCAAATATTACACAAAAATTTTAAATTTTCAAAATTTTAAGCTTTCAAATCTAAAAATATTAAACTAAAATTTTCAAAATTTTAAGTTTTTAAAATTTTAAATTTTCAAATACTTAATTTTTTAGAGAATATTAATTTTTAAAATAATTTTATTAATAATTAAGGGTCCCCGATTAATCTACGATTAATCCCCGCCTAGTCCGATTAATCGCTTATCGTCAGTCGACCGCCGAGATACTGCCGATCGATTTTTACAACCTTGATATATATATATATATATATATATATATATATATATATATATATAGATGAAATATCATTTGAAAACCTATAGTTTTCCGAGAACCCGAGAACAAAACAAGGGCCGTTAGATCAAAATAATATAAGGTCAAGATGAATTCTGGCATTTTTGTAAATACCTACGAAAAAAAAGGGACGGGGGCATGTTTTTAAAATGGATCAAGGGCATTTTAGGATAACAATATTCATACCCACTTATTGAATGAATCACGTTAACCTCTAAGATCTCTCGTTCTCTTCATCCCTCCTCTCTCTGCCTTTCATTCCACCTCCGACAATTGATACTTCAGCTCGTCCATCGCCGCCTAGACCATGGCCGCTTGAGGAACAACTGTCGTTGCAACAGAAGAGTGAGTCGGGAGAAGTGGAAGACGGTGGCAATTACGAACAGGAGACAAAGGCACGAGACAGTGGCGGTCAAGAACACGTTCAGATCTCTCAACGAAAGCAGTCAGAGCTGCACCAACACCGACCTTCCTAACATCTTTCTTCACCACCCCTCGTACCATCAGAGAAATGATTCAATTTCATGTTCAGCTTCTCCAATAGTAACCCTAGAATAAAGGAATGGGCAAATACCGAGTCGAATCAGTTCACTTCGGTGTCGTTGCTCGTTTTCAGGTACTTTCCTTTCCTTATAAACTTGCTATTAGATTGCAGATTCAGGAAGCCTATCCTTCTGATTATCAGTGGGCAATCACCTTGCTTGTTTACAATTACATGCAGAGATCTTTAGAGGTATTCAAATCCAAATCCAAATCCAAATCCAACTATCTAAAGTTCTAAACTCACTGATTACTGATTATTTATTTAATTCGATTAATTTTTAGGGGTATCCTGGTGTAACACCATTTGAAGGAATGACATATGGAGTTGCAGCAATTGTTAGGTATCTTCCCGCTGGAAGTCCTTGTAAATTTTACTGTGTTCATTGTCTAGTGGAAAAAACAAGTAGTCTTTTGTAGTGAATTCCCAAAAGAGCCAAATTCATGGAATGATTTACACGATGAGTTAGAGCCATGTAACAAGCTTCTAGATTTACTTCTCAGACTTCTCTCACTAGTTGATATTCAGGTATTAATCCGGTTTATCTTTTTAATCGGAAGTTAAGGTTTTAATGGCGTCTGTTATTGTTATGTTGTTCAGGTGTTGCCAAGTTTGATGAAGCTTTTAGCACAACTGGTTGTCGAGCTTCCTGAAGATGGACAAAATATGGTGTTGAATGACTTATTTGCTCAAGTTGCTGATTCAGATGATGTGACACGGAAACCAACACTTGTTTCTTGGGTACAGTCTTTATTTTATCTCTCATCTCAAGCTACAATCAAAGGAGGAGGACATAGGAAGCATGAAAAATCTCTGCATGTAATAGTAAACAAGCAAGTAGATAGTTGGATTTGGATAGTTGAATAAAGATCTTATTGCCAATACTTTTAAGATGCTTGCATCAGCAGCATATTACCAGATGTGCTTTAACTTTTTCTACATTGATATAAAGAATCAGTGTTTCATGACGAGATTATTTAATCTTATTTTGTGAATGATGTTTTTTAATCTATCATCAGGTGACACAAAAGTTATTGTTGTTGTTTATGGACCCAAAGATGGAACTAGGAAAAACGAAAACCCTAAAAAGGCCTTCATTGAAGTCATCTGGAAGCCAAAAACCGGACAGAGTGGTGAGTTTTTTCTCTTGTTAATACATCTGTAATGTATACGAATCTCATTCATTTAGCACTTTCTCCATGGTGCTAATTTTTTTGTATAAAAAAAGTTAATACAAAGTACAAACAATTGCAAAATAGAGAAACCAGAGAGGGAATATGAAATGGTGATGAATAAGACATTACAAAGCATCTTAATGGAATGTGTTTTTGATACATACTGTTGCAGGAGGTTGAGTTGTTAGTGAACATTAGATATCATTACCTTGTTCCTGATCGAATTATGTGTAAATAATGAGATCACATATTATGCCATATATTGTTATATTATATCATATATTGAAGTTGAAAAAGATAGAAAACCTCCAGATTTTGATCTGATACAAGTTTACAACAATGCAACAAGTAAGATTTTTGATATTTCTTTTGACCATAAAGGTTATTAACAAGTTCGTATCCATGATTTTGGAATCATTGATTAGCAGCCACTTGAAAGGGTATTCACTGTTCTTAAGATTAAGGTTTAGCAAACGATGTTCTAACTTTGTTTCTTAAACTTTTTTATCAAAAAGTCACAGTTCAAACAACATTAACTACATTTGCAAAAGTTGGAAAGAACATCCTCATATACTTGAAAAACAATTCTAAAGTAACTAACAAAAAATTCTTGAAAATAAAATGGGAACTTTTTACTTCAATAGATCAACTGTTACATACTTACATGTTGTCATAGCATTGAAGTCTTGGTTATTAGTTTATCTGGCATATTTATCATGTATTTGTTTGAACTAAAAGACAATATATATGTTCAAAAAGAAAGAAATTTTATTTGCATAGTTGGAATTTGAAATCTCATATTCATAAATCTAATTTTCATATGTTGCTTCTGCAGTCCAAATCATTATCCCTTCCAGAAGTAGCTGCTGCCATTTCAGTCTTGCTTGGTTTTGCACCTCCTTCTACATTGTCCTCTACAAGCTCAGAAAAATCAATCTTACTAAACTTTTTTAAATTTCTTGTTTCAGTGCATGATATTTTTTGTTAAATCTGATATAATTCTTTATTGATCTTCCAGTTGAATTATTTGAGTTAAAATTATTTGAGTTTTAATGAACTTTATTATCTTCAATAGCACTAGCCTCATACTTTTATTTATTTACTTTACAAGGTACGAGAAAGATTAAATATTTACATGTGAATTATATGCGATTCACATGTGAATCACATGTGAATCACATTTGATTCACATGTGAATAACATTTGATTCACATGTAAATCATATTTGATTCACATGTGATTCACATGTAAATCACATATGATTCACATGTGATTTACATATGATGTCATATGTAAATGTGATTCATATGTTAATCACAAGAAAATCACATATGTATTTTTGTGAGTGTTTTCACATTAATCACTTTTTTTTTTAATTTTCTTGTAGATTTGGAAGAAATTGTGATGAATATTGAAGAGGTGAAAATGATAAATTGAAGAAAATAAGTAAATATTGACACAAAGACATGAAAACGCTTTGAAATTTGTAGCATATTTTATATATTTTATATTTTATTTTGTATCGAATAAAATACTTGTATTATTATGTTTATAGATTAATTAATAAAAATGAAATTTGTTGTGATTTACTTACGAATATTATAGTATAAAAAATATACATATATGTATTTGAAAAAATATGCATATATGCACCTAAAATTTACTTTTAAAAAAATGCAGTTTTTTTAAAAAAATTGCAGTTTTTTTAAATACAGTTTTTTTTTGAAAAAAATGTAATTTTCTTTAAAAAACTTGTAGTTTTTTTGAAAAAATTGCAGTTTTTTTATTTAAAAATACAGTTTTTTTTAAATTCTAGTTTTTTTTGAAAAAAATGCAGTTTTCTTTAAAAAAAATTGCAGTTTTTTTAAAAAAATATTTTTTTCAATTTTTTTTCAAAAATTCTTGGTTTCTATAAAAAATTAAAAAATCTGCATTTTTTCTTATAAAAAACGAAAAAATTATTATTTTTTAAAAAATATGAAAATTTGATTTATGATGTAAATTTTTAGATATTTATATTAATATTTTAAATAACACAAATAAATTAAACATTAAATGAGATTGGTAAGATGACGATCATGTCCTTAATAAATTACTTTTGATCCAACGCTCAACTTTTAGTTTTCGGGTTCTTGGGAAACTATGAGTTCTCAACCGATCTCACCCATATATATATATATATATATATATATTATATATATATATTATATATATATATATTATATATATAGAGAGAGAGAGAGAGAGAGAGAGAGCGAGCGAGAGAGAGAGATGAGGAGAGAGGAGAGGGAGAGAGAGAGAGAGAGAGAGAGAGAGAGAGAGATGTTTTACATTAAAAGTTGGTATTAAAATCGTTTTTAACTTCATAAATAAAATATTATAATTGTTTTACTAACATAAACGGTTGGGCCCGTATAAAGCCCAACTTGAATTATTTGGCCCAAACACTATATAATGCGCGAGAAACCCAATAATTGCCGGATGAAGACGAACAATGCCATTGCTTTAGTTCTACTGTGTTACGATGGCGAGTTTGTGTTACAGTTCCCGACGAAAGGCGCAGCCGGTCACCGACGACAATGATTATGCCCTACAACGTCAACTTGCAGTTGTCGACGTTGTAACTCCTATTTCACATTCCATTTCTAATTCAGATTCTTCTGCGATCACTCCTTTATCCTCACCGTTTTCTCTTCCTGACGGCTGGTTCGTCCACCCGGTCCCCCGCTCCGATGGCCTTCGCGTCGACAAGGTCTCTAAGTACATAGTGCACATAACTTTCATGTGAAATGCATCATAATTGTACTTAATTCATTGCGTTTCTTCTTAATACAAAGTTCAGTTTTCCCCCTTTTTGTGGTATTAGTATGGTTATGGTTTGAATGGAGTTTTTAGCAATATGTAAAACCTATCAGCTTAATTGATTTGGCTTGTAACCTAATACTTCAATTCACGGGCTCTCAAACTCGTAAAATCTCGATTTTGGCTTTTAACGTCATATAGATGTGCAAATTGCATTAAAATTATTGTCATCGTATTTTGCAGTATTACATTGAGTCAGAAACAGGGCGCAAATTTCGATCTAGAAGAGAGGTTAAGAGATACTTGAATGTTGAAGAATATAAAGCTACTAGATCCAGGCCTTTGAGACTTGCTTACAGAATTAAGGTGAGATTTATTTCCTTCTCAAAATTTTAACAAAAAGAAGTAGTTTCCATAACTGTAACTTGCCTTTATTCTGCATATTTTACAGAATACGTTGGATCTGAAGATGATTACATCTCAAGCAAATGTAAGCTTTTTATCTACTTCTTTCTCTTTTGGTACTTTTAGCCTTCTACATTTATCACAAAATTTAATCCAATTATATCACTGATAATTGCTTTGTATTTAGATAACATTGCTCAGATTAAATTGGATTTTATAAAGTATAAACTACAATACTGTAATACACTAAAAGAAATGAAAGTATGAAACCTTTTTTAATACTATTCTGCAGTATTACAATGATCCAAATACTGAACGAAAGTTCCGATCTTTAAAAGATGTTGAGAGGAACCTTACAAAAGGATCTACATCTACTAAATCAACCACCAAGAGGCTAAAATACCATGAAAAGGTGACATTTTTATCCTCTATTAAGTTAAACATATGTATAAGATTTTCACTAATTCATTTATTTATTTCTTCTTTTAGCATCTGCAGAGTTGCAGTAGTCGAAAGAAAATTGTCTCTAGAGGAAAGGTAACCTTTTAACTGTGCACTAAAACCAAATAATAATAATAATATTCTACAAAAATATACATTTTACCAATTTTTTTTTTAAATGATGTTACAGAGGCTGGATTTTGAAGAGGATAAATATAATCAATATCAATTAGTAAATGTAACTCCCACAAGTTTTCAATCCTCCTCAACTTTCACTCTCCCTGATGGTTGGATTGTAGAGGAAGTCCCCCGAAAAACTGGAGACCATATTGACAGGGTAATTATTAATTAATAATTAATATTCACATCATATTATTTTATTAATTAGTTTCTTTTATTTTTTATATTGTAGTATTATTATGAGCCAGGGACTGGACAGAAGTTCAGATCCTTGACAGCTGTCCAGAAGCACATAGCAGAACTTGAAGAAAATGCACCTTTATCTGTAGTACTTGAAGAGCTTAGAGAAAATAATTTACCAATTGCCAAGGCTTTTAAATTAAGCAATTCTATAAAGGTTGAATTTGTGTTTTGATTGAATTTTATATAAACTTATATAATTTGGAAATGTTTTTTTATTTGTGTAGAATCATGGTTCATATGATTCATGGAAGAAAAGTGTTTTGAAAAAGGATGAAGGTTCATCATCATTTACCACTAGTCCTCCAAGCAAGATCAATTGGGTTATTGCTAGTAGTGGAGGGCAAAATTGGGATGCTTTTATTGGTGATAATCCGATTCCGGATTCTTTAAAGCAAGAATGGAATGAGAGATTCCTGTTGGCCATTGGTAATGGGAATCAGAATGAATCGGTTTCAGCATAGCAAAGGAATTTTGTATTTGCTCATTTGGTGTAAAATGGTTACAAGATTGGGTCACGGAATCTGTTAGGAAATGGAATGGAATTCGATTCTATTCCGTTGTATATTTTTCCTTCGTTTGTAAATCTTTCAAATAATGTAGAAGGTAATAATGACAGATGTCGATTTTTTATTTTATAAACGCATGTTTGGAAATTTAATAAATTATAAGTATTTAAGTTACCCTTTTAACAAGCAAAAATGTATTTGAGTATTTTCTTTTACAGAGATTGTGCAAAAAAAATATAAACCGATAAACCAATTATTTTTTGAAAAGCCAAAGGATTATTTTCTCTTTTCTGAAAAAAAAAATTAGCTTCTATTTATTTTTGATATATATAATAACCGAAAAACCCGAAGTTTTTAAGTATATATTATATTAAAGCAAAACACAACCAAGACTCCCATATCTTTATATTCTACCAGAAAAAAAAAGTATCTGAATGGCATCTCATAAACCCCAACTCAAGCCACAAGTTTTCCGGCCAAGTGGAGACACAGTTTGTCTCTGATGACAGCACCACCACCATGAACCACCGCGCTTTTCTCCGGCGAATACCCGGGGTCATGGTCACCGGACATCATCGACACATCAGACACCCCATCACCTTCCATTTCAATCAAAATATTATGAAGAATACAACACCCTAAAACAATCACCGGTAACTTATCCATATCCGGCTGCCACATGCCGCCATCAACTCCCGCCCAAACATCCTTCAACTTCTTCAACGCCCGATTGGCAAACAATCTGGTTTCCAGATGCTTCTTGTTGAACTCGATTTGGTCTCCTGTTAGGTCTTCATTTTGGTATGGAGTTATCAGCCATGGTAAGAGCTGAAAACTCGACCCTCCAACTATATATTCCCCAACTTTTGTTCCATCAGATAACTCGATCTTGTTCCCGTTTAGCCTTTCTCCTTTTTGAGTGAGTTTAAAGAATGTTGATTTTTTTAGCACCCTGTCATTTGTCATATTTCCTGGCCACCCTACTACCAGATCAATGAACCGCATTGTGGGGTCCACGATTACCTGTAATGGTTAAATGCAAAAAATAACAACATGCTTTCATTTACCCGTTCCTTATTGTATTATGCTTTCATTTCTTTTTATTACAACATTGTATTTTGGAAATTCTTGAAATACAAATCAATTTTACATCAATAATAGAGGAGATTTCCCAAGGTACAATGTCTTGATAAGGAAAAAAAACTAAAAGTACAAGGCTATAATTAGATGGATTTTTCAAAATACAATGTCTTAATAAGAAAAAAAAAATGTAATCATTAATATGATCGAAACGATAGGTCACAAATGACCAACTTTTCAACTTTTATCACAAAATTACCTCTCTTTCTTGAGATAATAACTCTTTTGTGACACTGTTTTATCGGTTGGTGGTCCCACTAGAGAAATGTTGAAGGTTTTTTTTTAATAATTTCATGAAAGAGGCATAGTTTCTTGATAAAAATTGCACTTTTTTCTTTTGCGAAAAATACAGCGGGGCCATGAAAAACAATTTTGCAAAAAAAAAAAAAAGCATATAGAGAATAAATGGTCATTTTTTGATAAATTTAAAAAAGGTGGTGAAATGATGATAGGACCACCACATTTTGTGTCAATTTTGTGATTTACCTCGAAAAATACAACATTGTAATAGAAAAATATAAAACATAGAATGATATAATTAATAAAAGTACATTGTTATTTTATGCATTTAGCAGTCACCTGCAAGAGCATGCTATGGTTGTTCTCGCGGTCAAGACATGGCTTTGCTCTACGCTCAGAAGCAGGCGGATACATCTTCAAATGAGTGGTCTTGATCGCGCCACAACAATTTGGCAGGCCGCCAGACCTCTCAAATGAGGACTTGACCAGAGCCATATCTGGCGGCCATGTAATGTGGTGCACACCGGCTACCTTAAGCGCGTCCACGAACCGTGAGGTTATGTCAAGGACAGTCAAGTAATTTGTACCAAAAAAGCTCGTGATGTTTGAGGTGGGATCAACCGAGCTTAGCCTTGTTAAAGCAATGGCTACTTGATCATTGAGGGACATTGATTTTCCATCTAAGAACATGGAGTTAGTGTCTCGAGACATCATGAACTCCTTTACGATTGAGCATATGTAGCTAAATGTTGTCCTTGATACCTTGAAAAGTGACTGGAAATTGTCGAGAGTTTTGTATGGAGATACAAGCACTACATCGACAAAAAAAAAATAGAAATAAAGAATAACATATGTTATATTTATATTAAAAATGTTTATTGTGTTGAAGATGATTTTAAGAGAACATACTAGAAATTCTCCTAGAGAGCACAACCCTCTGACCAGCTGGCCTGATTTCAGTCTTGTCATCCGACTCCATTTTTTGTTTATCTTTATTTCTTCTTATGGGAGTCATCCTTCACAACAAAGCTTAACTGCATATTTTTTGGAATTAACAAACCAGTGATGATTGTTTAAGTACGAATATTGTACTCATAGTTCGAGTGAACTTATAGGTTAAGTACGGATATTATACTCATTATCCATGAATACAGACATTTAATTATAGAATATATTATAATTGGTTAACGAACTTTTTTTTCCTACAAAACACTGATGTTTTGACAAACTACTAGTACAAGGTAAACAAGCAAATAGAATGAGGTGTGTTCACGTAATATGTTATAATTGGTTAATAGAAGAATGTTGAGAAGATAGGTGGATATGCCCAGAGCATAGTTCCAAAAGAATGGTGAAAGTGAGGCTTGAATGAGGTGTGTTCGAAGCCGAGAAAATGGGAAATAGTTGCTATTTAGATTTGTGAGGGAATGTCCAAATAAAATAAGAGTAGGCATCGAGTACGACAAATAATATATGTGTCCTTGTTTGCTTAAGTTTGGAGATGTTCGAAGATCCGTGTGTATTATGTTGAATGAAGAATATTTTATATAGTGTGACAGGTAGACGACAATGTTTTCTTAAATGAAAAGCATCACACGTAAATTTATTGAGTTTAGTGCAAAAAATAGAATGAAGATTACATAGAAATTGAAAAACTTGACTATTTGTATGACCAAGACAATTGTGTCAAGTTACAGGTGACACGATGTGAAGGGCAACCGCAGGAGACTTGATCTGTGATGTTAGGGTAAGCGAATAGAGTGATCCATGTAATAATTTTGAAAAACGATATTTTGTGGCTAGCTAGATAGATGTTGCTTAAACCAACATACAATAGAGTGTTTATGATTTGGTATCAGTTTTTTTTTATATGAATTATTTCAATGCAATAATAACAATTATTCTGAGAAGCGGGTTTACATCTTATTAAAAACAAACAGGATTTGGAGGAACAAAACAAATAATAAGTAAAAGAATAAGTAGAATGGAAGCCTCTGTCTTAGATTGGAGTTCTATGGTTCAAACCGGAACATAAGCAAATTAATTAATTTGGTGAATTTAACCAACTGTTAAAAAAATAAAAAAATAACATTGTGAAAAGAATTATAAAAAAATGTCTTTTTGGATACATATCGTCCTAAAAAGCCATTGCATCCATTTCCAAAATCAATTTTACAATAAAAAAAATTGTAGACCAAATAATATAAAGTTTACTAATTCCAAATCTAAATTACAAAAGAATAGAATTTTCAGTTTTCAATTTTCAAAAACAAGTGAAATTTTGGGGCAATTCAATGAAACAATAAACTCATCCCAAATTTAGATATATAATCTAGTCAATTTATATATATAGAAAATAGAAAATAGAAAATTAATCGTAAAACTTACTTGTCGTAACGCCTTCTTTCTTCAGATAGAATCAATCGAATAGATAGTCTTTTTCAATTTTCTGTAAAAAAATCGTTAGTTTTATAGATTTGAAACAATTGGTAATAAGTCATGCTATAGATATCCGATATTCTTAAATCTAAACAGATCTAACATTGATCGTTTTTGCTTTCTTTAACAATTTGTGGAAGTAAAACAAAATGAAGAAATGAGTACAATGTATATACATACTTTGTTGCGGCGACAAAAACGATGTGCAAATAAGAAGACAATCGCCGCTTAATCGAAAAAAAACGAAAGAAAATGATTACATGGCATCTATTATGTTTTAGGGTTTCGGACTCCAAATTTGATTTATAAATTAGTAAAATTGTATATATTAATTGGGTAAATAGCACAAAATATACTAAATTTACACCAAAATTTTAATTTGACACTGTGTTTTCCAATTTTTTACAATTCTGACCACTTGACCGGTCAACTCGGTTACCTGCTGATGTGACATGTCAGTTTTGATGACGCGACATGCTGATATGTCAAAATTGAATTTTTTTTCCCTCAAAAAAGACTAAGTTTACACTTTTTTTTTCGATTTTGACACTAAGTTTAATTTTTTCTTTCAATTTTGACACTCTGATTTTTTGTTCCAAATTAAACATCATTTTTCCAATTTTTTCAGTGTTGACCATTTTTCCATTTGAAACCGTATAAATATTTTTTAAATATATTTTAAACCGTATAAATACATTTTTTTCATTGAAAACCCATATTTTTGTATAAATACAATGTTTTTTTTACATTCAAACCATAATTTTATGTATAAATATGTATTAGTTATTTAAAAACCGTATTTTATATTAAATAAAGACCCAGAGATATTTATACATAAAATATATTTTATTTATTTATTTATTATTTTTTTTACATTCAAACATCAGTCACATATTTATAAATGATTATATGTATTAGTTCACTTGAGATTCAAAAAAAAAAAAAAAAATAGAGATTTTGAGATTCAACCTCAGACACATATTTCTCATTTACCTTTCTAACGCTATATCGTACCAACAGCAGCGGGGTATGCCTAATTATAAATGATTATATGGCAAAGAGGTATAATCATATATGATTATAAATGTTTATACATATATGCCTAATCATAAATGATTATACATATATGTTTGTTCACAGATTGAGTATCATATATGATTATAACGGTTGGTTGGTGGAAGAATTTCAATGGTATCTTGAACGTACGGCTGACAATG